CCGGACCTTGAAATATGAATAATTAATTTATGACGTAGTGGTAAAACTGGATACGATGTTTTTCAATACATGTATTATATTTTTATAATCGCTATTGACGGGATGTCTTTGTTCCCCTTTATAGTTGTTAATCCTATAGAAAATATGAATAATAAATTTATGACGTCATTTCGGACGTGTCAGAACTTGTTTGTGTTACTACGTCACAGTCGTTACGTCACCTTTTTTGACCTGTCTGTACTTGTCTATTTAGGGGGTATATCGTGTACGACATGGAGAGAGATTTCTGGACGAGGTTCGATTGCGTCCACCGTTGGTTCTGGTGCAAGGCGTGCAAACGTCGAACTCCCAACAACAATCTGGAGGTTCTGATGTTCGGTAAGGTGATCGGCGCCGCCGTCGGGAACAAGAATTCGTTGGTGCGGATGACGGTGTGTGAGAGAGCTCTGAACGAGATTCCCTGTGGCCGAATCCCGCGTAAGGTAAGAAGCACCTTCGTCATAAACGAGGCTCCGGTTGATTTCGTGGTCGAAGATTGTTCCATCGTCTCGAGCGAAAAAACGAACTCGATCGCCGTCGTCAGCGATATCTCAATCTGGAAATGCGAAGACGGAAGATGGCGAATCTATAGGAACGAACAAAGTTGGTTGAAAAACCCGGTGCTCTACGACTTCGAAGACGAGTGGCCTCGTGTCGTCGGAGGTCTGCACGCGCGCCACAACTTGTGGTTTTCGATGTTTGCGACCGATTTGAATGAAGTCGATCGAGATTTGTACGGAGACTGTCTCTTATACACATCTAGATGTGTATAAGAGACAGTCGAGAAACTTTGCTGTCAAATCTTCGAGAAACTTTGCAGTCAAATCTCTGTCTCTTATACACATCTAGATGTGTATAAGAGACAGGAATTGAGGGGATTAGGGGGGAAGAGAACAATAGAATTCTATTCATATGCAAATTTTTTCTTTTGTTGGACTATGTTCTAATGCTTTCTACTAATCCAGTTCTTATAAAATAAAGATTTATTTCCATGCGTAATTATTACCTTATTTTCCCATAAGTTTTGTTTAACTACTGCTTCGTAAGTGTTAACTATACGACTCTCAATTTTGTTTAATTCAACACAGCACTTAATGAGGTTAAAATAAAATGGTGGTACTTTGTTAAAGTTAATATGATCTTTTATATTAATACTTGACATACTAAAAGCTAGACGTGCATCTGCAACTTTATTTATATAATATAACGGCAATAATTTCCATCTTACATGTTTTCTACCAAGTAAGTTTCTTGCCCAAGTAATTTTAAGGGCTTTTATATGTAATGTGAAATCAGGCATATTTATGCCACCTTCAATTATATTGCCGATTAATGTTTTTCTCTTAATTTTTTCTCTTTTTCCATTCCATATAAACTCGTATGTCAGTTTGTTTATTTTGTTGATAATATCCTCTGGAACGTCAATAATAGATGCATTGTAAGTCAACTTAGACAACGTGAGGCTCTTTAAAATTGTCACCTTTCCAACAGAGTAAGGTTTCTAGCCTTCCACTTATTTAGTAGCATTTCTAAATTAATTAACTTATTTTCTCAATTTAATTTTTCACATTCCTTTTTATTGTATCCCACGCATATTCCCAATATTTTATTGGTTCATTTACCCAATTTAAATCACATGGTTTTTCTACTATATTTAAATTCTTACCAATCCATATGGCATTTGTTTTATTTTTATTAAGGTGAAACCTCACAGAAATTACTAACAATGTGTAACCCATGTTCAATACTATTTTCATTACCAACAAACAGAACAGTGTCATCTGCCAGTTGTGCAATGCGAACTTCTTCGTTCCCTTTATCTGGATCAGGTACCACTATTTTTTTAATGTCTTTCCAGAATAATTTATAGAACTCTACGGTCAAGCCATCGCTTCCTGGAGCTTTATTTAATTTCATTTTCCGTAAGGCATCTTCACATTCATTTAACGTAACAATTCCTTCACAAACACTATATTGTTCTTCAGCTAAAATATCTACATTTGATTGATCCAGGTGTTTGTTGATATCAGTATGGGATATCCCCTTATTTGCATACAGTTGTCTAAAGAAGCGAACTTCCTCACACAGGATTTCCTGTGTGTTTGTCAACATTACGCCATTTGACTTTTTAATTCTTTTTATATGTTTTTTTGTTCCATTATTTTTTTCTAAACCAAGAAAAAATCTAGTGCTACGTTCGCCCTCTTCTATCCATTCGATCCTCGAACGAATGTATGCACCTTTTGTTTCTTGTTCATATATTTTTTCTAATTTTTTTGTTTTTTCTTCGATTTCTGTCTCAAAGTTTTCATTCAAATTACTAGCATTATTAACCAGAGCATCATTCAATCGTTTGATATCTTTTTGTAAATTTTCTTTTATTGTGTTTTTTTCTTTATTTATTTTTTACCATAATAAATTGAAACTTCTTTAATTTTTATTTTTATTAATTCCCACAATAATTTGGGTCTAAGGTCTGTTTCATTAGCCTGTGTTTTTTGAATAATATTTGTAATAGACTTTTGATAGTCAATATTATCCAGTAGGCTAATATTTAATTTCCAATATCCTGGCCCTCTTATAATTTGAACTCGTCCAATCTTTAACGAGATTGCCTGGTGATCCGTTAGGATAGACGGTCGTATATCGCATGACATAATGTCATCTTGATCAATAAGATTTTGTGAGATTCCAGTAATCCAGCCATCTATAAATTTTGCTACATTTTCTACGCCAGGTAAATTGTGTTTTATGAGGATTTTTATTCCTCCAAGCATTATTTAAAATTGAAGTACTTCATAACATTTTTAATTGTAAACACGGATGTGTCTTTTCTAACTGCACTATTTTTTTGACCACAATTTCTATTCATGATGCAATTAGAATCACCACCAATTATAATGTTTTCTTCGTCTAAACCAACAATACTAAAAATAATATTACTCAGGTCTCTAAAATATGTACTCCTTGATTTACAATTGTTCGGAGCATATATATTGACAAATAACATATATTTTATCTTGTATTTCTGCTTTATAGTTGCGTATCTTCCAATTTTACACTTAATACGTGCACCTTTACCGCTCGGCTACATTTCAGTCGAGCGCATCGACTATATACAAAGATATGGTGCAACAAGGCGAGGGTTTGTAAGTTTCGATTATCTTGTTTTCATTGTTAACACAACAACAACAGTCTAAAACAAAATCATTCAACTTTATATTTTGACAACATTTGAGCAATTAATGTAACACTAAACCAAATTCTCCCTGAATCTTTAGTGTGAACATCGGTTAAAAGGCTTACTACAGTGTGTTACTGTGTATAAACCAATCTTCTTAATTTTGACCCTTAACAATACGAATTTGTTTTTCTTGTATTTTCATTCAAAATACTCAAAAATATTTTTTTGGCCAAATTAAACTGATTTCATATTAATACATTTCTATAAATTAGTTCTAATTTTACATTAATTCATTATGTTAATAAAAATAAAATTAAAAATAAAAATAATTGTCATAATTGTATGAGAACATTCTAAAAATCCCTATTAAGCTGAAATTTTCACCTTCCTCATTACTGACCCTTGAATATTGTACCCC